CTTGCATATTTAGCTTTCCAATATGCACGAAGACAGGAAAAAAGGAAGGAGAATTACAATCAAGTCTTAAGAAAGAGAAATAATTATTAAAAAGTCTCAATAACAACTTAAGTAACCTGTAATGATAAGTTTTAGAGTGAAGAATAATAACCTTTTAAACTTGTTTTATGATTTTTTTTTTTGCGGACCTCATTGTAATTCTCCCAAAAAAGAAAATGACAATTAAATAAAATAAAACTCATCTATTGTATTTCTCAATTGTTTTTCCCCCTCGCTTTACTATAATTAAGCCGAAGTTAAAATATTTCATATAGCTGACCAAAATATTCACATGTTACTAATGTTTCAATTTGACATGTTAGTTGAGCTAAAAAAAATTTGCATTCTAGTAAATTATATTAATATAAAATTTATAAAAGTGTGAATATTTTTAAAATCTATGTAACGTACATAAAATGAATAAAACTATACTATTAAATTATGATTATATTCTAACCTTTTAGGCATCTCATTTATGCTTGATATAAAATTTATTCTTAGGGAAAATGGCAATAAAAGACCCATGAAATAGCAAAACAGAAAAATAGACACCCAAATAAAGAAAATTGCTTGGAGAGACCAGATCATAAATTGCAATTATCAAATTAAGCTTAAAAGACCAAAATACCCTTCTTTCCTTCTTCTCTTTCGATTCCTCTCCCTCTCATGTTCCTTCTCTTTCCTCCTTCCTCTTCCTACTCTTTCTCCCCTGCCCTCTGTTCTTGCTCCGCCACACTAACTCTTCTCCCTCCTCCTCCATTTCTTCTATTTCGCAGCGGTGGCTACAATAAGGATTGAAGCATTCTTAGTGGCAAACTCAAGATCTTCTCTCATGGCTTGTTCAGTGAAGGCGAACTCCGGATCTCCACCGTCAACATGTTACAAACCCTTTGGGTTCCCAAGCTTCCATGGTCTATGATTTATGTTCACCATCAACAACAATTTCAATTTTGATTTCCATTTTCATTTCTAGAGAGTTTGAAAAAACCAGGTGGAAGGAATGAAAACTGTGAAAGGTTCAATGAGTTCTTATTCAATTCGTTTGCATCTTCTTCATTTGGGAAGATGAGTGTTAGTTCTTATACTGGACAAAGAGAGATAGATGATACTAATTTTCTTCTTTTGATACTAATTCACCTCTTTCTCTTCTCCATGCTAGAGGAGAAAGAAGCCTATGATGATCAATGATAGATACCTGGTATCGTATTGAGACTTTTGGTTTTTTTTCCCTTTTTATTTGAATTCGTTTGTTGTAGAGAGAAAGTTTTGGTGATGGTGATGATTTTAATCAAAGTTGTAAATAGTCTATGATAGATTTTTAGTTTGGGTTCTTGAGATTGACAAATGATGTGCTTATTGAATGAAGAACTTTGCTCATTTCTATGCTTTGTTCTGACAGCTGGTTTATTAGTTGAATAATGTATATAACAAGTTCTGATAAACAATTTATAGGAATTTAAGTTTTTATATTAAAATGACAAAATTTTCACAATTCATTAGTGAATAACAAGTTTAGTAAAGTCAATAACAAGTTCAGTAACATATATGACCAATTTTGATAAGCAATTCATAGGAATTTAAGTTTCTGTGTCAAAATGACAGAATTTTCACAATTCCTTGGCAAATGACAATTTTAGTAAGGTTAATGACAAGTTGAGTAAGGCATATGACAAGTTCTGATAAGCAATTCATAGAAATTTAAGTTTCTGTGTTAAAATGACAAAATTTTCACAATTCCTTGGCGTGTGACAAGTCCAATAAGGTCTATGACAAGTTATGATGAGCAATTAATAGAAATTTAAGTTTATGTGTTAAAATAACAGAATTTCCACAATTCCTTGGCGAATGACAAGTTTGGTAAGGTCAATGACAAGTTCAGTAACGCATGACAAGTCCTGATAAGCAATTTGTAGAAATTTAAGTTTCTATGTTAAAATAACAGAATTTCCACAATTTCTTAACAAATGAAAAGTTTAGTAAGATGAATGATAATTTCTAATAAGTAATTCATATAAATTTAATGTTTTCTATTCAAATAACAATTTTCAGATTTATTTAGAAGATGATAAGTTTTAATAGGCAATTCATGACAAGTTTAATAAGGCAAATGATAAGTTAGTAAGATGAATGACAATTTGTAGTAAGCAATTCATACAAATTTAATTTTTTCTATTCAAATGATAATTTTCAAATTTCTTTAGTAGATGACAAGTTCTGATAAGCAATTCATGACAAGTTTAGCTAGGCGAATGACAATTTTAGTAAGACAGATGACAACTTCTGATGAGCATTTCACACGAATTTAATTTTCTCTGTTCAAATGACAGAATTTTCAGATTTCTTTAGCAAACAAGAAGTTCAGTAAGGCAAATAACAGAATTTCTGTGTTAATATCACTGCATTTCTATCACCACGTGTCTAATTAAGTGGACAACATTAAATAGCTCTATATTGTTACAATATAAAACTGATTAACAAAACTAATACCATTAACTTTGTTTAGTTCAGAAAATGACATTATTTTCATATTTTACTTGCCAATAACAAGTCATTATCAGGAAATAACATTAATGTTATCACTAATAACAAAAAATTAATATATCCATGACATCAACCTTTTCATATATTTTAGGGGAAAAAAACACATCCACATTTTTCTCATTAACCACATATATATGCAAAACAACAACATTGTTATGCTCATCAACAATATATCATTATTTTCGGAACGCTTTATAATGTTAGTACCACTATATGCACATAGTGTGCAATTACAAAATTTACATGAGAAATAACAACATTCTTATTGTTAGTGTGGCAGTTTCACCCAAGCAGGGGTGAATTGGGTGATAAAAATTTGCTCTTAAAAACAAATAACAAAATCAAGAAAAGTAAATAGGTTCAGAGAGATTTCATCGAAGGAAAGTCAAAGAAGAAGAACATGTAAGATTTTATATTGGTTCGATCTTAACCACTTGACCTATATAAGCTTATAATCCCCTCAAGAATCCTACACTCTTGAGTCACTCGCTAAAATGAGTAAAAAGATTTACAGACTCTCTTTTAAGAGTGTATAAAATAAACACTAATGCTCAGAGTAAGAAACAGAGTATTGAATGTAGGAAATTAATTCGGCAGTTGGTAGCTCAAGTTCATTCACCACTTTATTCAATGCTCTTCGTGTTTTATACTGAGAGATTTTTAGTTATCTATTAGACACGAGAGCTTGAACCGTTGAAGTAGCATTTGTGTAGGTTGGTAGTTTTAACGGTTGTTTTGTATTTAATGTGTTTCTGACAAGTAGCTTACCCCTACAATATTTTTTCGTTGAACCTCGTAACCTAAAGAAAATGTCTCTGTAATACGTTACTTCATTAGTGAATATAAATGATTAAAATAAGAGATGATAATCCTTGGAATTTAACTTATAAATTAAAGTTCACAGATCAAGGATCATAGAATCACAAAATTAATTCTTCGAAGATCCCATCGATAAGCAGCTTAATTTATAAAGTTATTGATTAATTGGAAACATGAGAATTCTGAAACAAGACTCACTTAACGAAGTTATTATAGATCAAGGACTTTATGGAAAAAGTTATCGATAAAGAGTGAAGGTTAACCAAGGTGATTTATGATGATTCTTCAAAGGTTAAGTGAAAATACTTGTTTCTTGAATTTCATCTTAATCGGGGGCTTTTTTTGCTCTTTATAAAAATATAAGATGAATAATAAAAGCTGAGAAAAGCTTAAAGATAAAACAATATATTTTCTGAAAGTAGTATTGAACAAAATAACTGAGCCTTATATAGCACGTTATCGATAATTCACTTTATCCAAAAGCTTATCGATAGCTAAAGTAAGCTTACAAATCCAATTTAAACAATTTTATCTGAAAAGTTATCGATAATTGACTTTATCGAAAAGATGTTAGGAAAGACACTTAAGAAAAAACTTGGACAAAGACAAAGAATGATAGGAAAAACGTGACTTTAATCGACAAAGTGATCGACAAATGTACTTATCGATGAAATGACCAATAACTGTGTTTATCAATAAGATTATTGATTAACTTTTGAACAAAACTTGAAAGTTTAAAAAAACAGGCAGAGATTTATCAAACATTTTATCGAACAATAGAAGAATTTTAGTAAAATAATACTTACTCAGTTTCAGATCAAGTTATCGAGGATTATAGAAATCGATAAACATATCGATAAGCCAAAAAGCATTCAAACTGGTTATAGTGCAGTGAAACTTACCTATTTATCTGAAAGATGATTGAAAACCTCATTCGATAAGGTTATCAATAAATGCTTATCAGTAAAGCTAAATGCAGAGAAACTTACTATTTTTCCAAAAGGTAATCGAAAACTTTGTTTACCCAACAAGTTATCAATAAGCACTTACAGTAATGATATGCAGAGAAATTTAACTTTTTATTTTGTCATCATCAAAACTTTAAATCTAACTCTTATAACTAATAATAAAAAATCATTATAGTTATGATAACAATTATTTTTGTAATATTAAATAACACTCTTAATCCTCCTCAACAAAATTAAATATTGTGTGCATAAATAAATAAATTTAAAAAAGAAAAGAAAAAAGCAAGGGGGGGGGGACGTTGGGGGAAAAAAGGAGTTGGGAATGGGGAAGGGTTGGGGATGAATGAAATGGGAGGAATAGGGAAGCGCGAGGAAGGAGGGAGAAGAAAAAGAGGGAGAGAAAAAAAGAAGAAAAGAAAAGTGAGTAACAGGGATTTTTATTTTTTATTTTTAATAAATAAGGGTATTTTGGTTTTTTTTTTTAATTTTTCATAATTCATATTTAACAGTAATTTTGTAAATTAAAGTACCCAAATTATAATTTTACCATTTTCTCTTATTCTTATGATTTTTAATAAATACTCTTGCTACGTTTTTTTGAACAAAACTAACTAACCATCGCCTGAAGATACACGCATCTTCTCTAGTTCTCTTCTGGCTCCGGCTGATCAGCTCTGTATCTCCATGATCATCATTCTTTATTGCTGTTGCTAGTTTCAAAGAAAAAGATCTACTAGTACTCTCAAATGTCGTCACTTGCCGATTCCGTGAAACCTCGAGGTGTGCTTTTATTTGCCAGTTCTGAATCTTCCTGGCGCATTGTTTATCATTAATTTTACAAGTTCATACGATATGATAATCTTAAATTCATTCTAGCTTGGTAATTTTTTATCCCTACAGGTTCATCTGCAAGGGCTTTTTTTTTTTTTTTTTTTTAAATAATCATAATCATGGAAATTGAGGATTTTTAGACGTGGGAGGAAATCAAAACTTTGCATAAATTGTCTTTTATCTCCTTAACATAGCGCTACTTTGTTAATTACAGATGTTTGTATTGTTGGCATTGCCCGGACGCCGATGGGTAGTCACCTTGGCATCCTTTCGTCTCTTTCAGCGACGGAGCTTGGCTCTATTGCTATTCAGGGTAATGTTCTTGCGGTAACAACTTCAGCCTGTTACTCATCTCCCACCCATTATTTCTTGACTAAACACAGAATTCTGGAATCTGGATAAATTGATGGCTTGAAATGGAATAAAGTGGGCAGGATAGGACGAAGGGGGAAGGGTTGAGACTGAGAGAGAGGGAAAACAGGTTTTAAAGAGGAAAAATGCGTCCCATAACAATATTAATCTTTTGTGTCTCTTGTTTTTGATAGATGCTACAGGGCTTAGCTTAAAAAATTTTCCCCTTTGAATTGTTTACTCAATAGTCTGCGGTTTTTTTAGCTAATGAATACAGTTAATCCCCATTGCGATGTGCTATGAACTTGTTATATTCATAAACTAAGTCATGTACTCGCTAAATTCTAGGGACTAAATTCAAATAGGCATAATAATCGTACTACCTAATTGTTAGTTTAGTCTTCTTGCATTCTTTCTGATGATACCATTCCAGTTAAAGAAAAGAACAAGTAATGCATCTATAAATATATGTCTCTCTTCTGTTTTAAGCTATTGAATAAATCTGCAGCTGCTCTCAAGAGAGCGAAAGTTGATCCATCCCTTGTGCAAGAGGTATTTTTTGGGAATGTTCTCAGTGCAAATTTAGGGCAAGCTCCTGCTAGACAGGCTGCATTAGGTGCTGGCATACCCAATTCTGTAGTCTGCACCACTGTGAACAAAGTTTGTGCATCTGGGATGAAAGGTAAAGTCTTTTTGTTGATATGAAAGAAGATTCTTCACTATAAACAAAATTAAATTTTAGTGGGCCAGTAGTGACTTCATGCTCCATTTGCTTTTTGTTGCAGCGGCCATGCTTGCAGCATTGACCATACAAATGGGTATTAATGATGTAGTTGTGGCTGGTGGTATGGAAAGCATGTCTAATGCTCCTAAGTACATTGCTAATGCAAGGTTTCATTTCTTTCATGAGTCACTGACACCTCAGTAAATTTTCTCTTGTAAAAATTCATTGTCTTGATATCTGCGGAAATCATGACAATAAGGGAACTTTATTTTTTTCCCCCCTTCTTAAATCCCCTCTTCAGATTTGCTTCTTGAAGACAAAGTTCAGTTTGCTGATCTTTCTGCTGAACTCTTCTGCGTTTGTCAATATAGACTTTGTACTATATAGTTGCATTGTGTACTGTATTAACCTAATGAGTTTCTTTGGCATTTGTTGACGTCCGAATTTCATAGACCATCATTTATTTTGGCGAGCGATTGATAGTAGTAATGCATTATTAAGTGTATAATTGTTGTATCTAAACCAGGAAGGGTTCTCGCTTAGGACATGATACTATCATCGATGGAATGCTCAAAGACGGCCTTTGGGATGTTTATAATGACTTTGCTATGGGAATGTGTGGTGAAATATGTGCCGATCAGCATGCCATAACAAGAGATGACCAGGTACTGGCTCCTGGTCAACTGTCTGTTCAAAATTTGTAATTTATATTTTACTTCTTGTTGAACATGACCTTATTATGGTCATTTAGGCATGCAAGTATTCATCAATCAATACCAACTCCCTTGTTGTTTCTTCTTCTGTAATCTGATTGATCGGTGGACTGTTTGGGAATGGCCTAGAATGATTTTGATTGAAAGCATTCACAGGGACATAAATATAGATCAATATAGCTATGCTGATTTATCTTTGATACTGAAGTTGGTATAACCATTTTGCCTGACACTACTCATCTCTCTCCTGTCTACCTCTTGGTATTTTTATATCTCCTCACAAACTGCAGTCATTTGAAATCTAGGGTTTATATGTTTGTTCGATGCTATCTCTATTACCTTGCAGGATTCTTATGCTATTCAAAGTTTTGAAAGAGGAATTTCTGCACAAAATGCTGGTCACTTTGCGTGGGAGATAGTTCCGGTGTGATTTTCCATTCTTGCCATGAAAAACTGTTTATATGAAATTATTGATGACTTATGGAGACAAGTCATTTGTTGTTTCTATTTCACACTCATGCAGGTCAAAGTTTCTGGCGGAAGAGGAAATCCTTCCACACTTTGTGATAAAGATGAAGGTTTGGAAAAGGTAAATAGATTGGACAGCCACGTTAGCTAGTCTATTTAGGAGTGTAATGGAGATTTGGTAGTATGAGATATGAAGTCCCACATTGAGTAGAATGGGATACTTAATGTAGTATTTAAGTGGGTTAGTTCTCCCACCTTAATAGCTAGCTTTTAGAGTAGGGTTTCCTATTCCACTTAATTACTCATCAATTGGTATTAGAGCATGATTGTTGATAGGGACATCAACTTTCAATGAGTGGCTAATTGATTGACACTTGAAAATATGAGATACCAAGTCCCACGTTGAGTAAAATGGGTTGCTTAATGGGGTACTTAAGTGGTCTTCAATCTCAACAACTAGCTTTTGGCATAGGTTTCTCTATCCCATTTGGATACCCATCAAAGTCGCACCACTCTGTTTATATTTACATTACTAAAACTTTTCATTTCATTTTTAGGGAATCAAAACCTTTTAATCCTAGACTCTTACCCATAGTTTCCCCCATTGAACTAAAGAAATTTGTTTGCATATTGCAGCAACCAAATTGACCCCATTTTTGCACATTTCCTTAACTTAGCTTTGTTCTTTTGCATGGGGAGGAATGCACCGTTGTTTTGAGTGAGCATCTGTTCTCCTCATGACTACTATAACTGTGTTATTTTGAATACGAAGGATCAAAGTGTTAAGCTTTCAGACAACTATTGATGTTCATGCATGTATTTGCTTCCATCAGTTACATAATTTTGGAGTCACAACTGCTTTCCGTGGAAGTTTTAATTTCTTATATAGCATTTACTTTCTCCATGGTCTTTGACTTGATTTTCTGTGGTGATTCTGTGGAAATTTTTGCTTTTGCTAATATATTTGTTTCATGTTAGTTTGATCCAGTAAAATTAAGGAAGCTTAGACCAAGCTTCAAGCAAAATGGGGGCTCTGTCACTGCTGGCAATGCTTCTATCATAAGGTCCTTTTTCTTTCCCTAGCATGGGTTTTGCTATATAGTAATGAATTTAATTTGCTTACAATTAAATTATAGTTAGAAGTTCAGTAATACAAATTGGTTTTTGTTTAATTTGGTAATTTTTTCAAATTGATTGAATGGCTTTTATGATTATTAAAAATTATTAGATGGATTGGCCAGCTTAACCAATCCGTTTAATATATTTTTCGCATGTTTCTAAAGTAAGTGTGTTTTCTTTTATTGACGATGAACTGGCATACCAGCGATGGTGCTGCTGCCCTAGTGCTAGTGAGTGGAGAGAAGGTGCTAAAGCTTGGATTGCAAGTGATAGCTAAGATTAAAGGATATGCTGATGCAGCTCAGGTGCATTGAGAGGTTAATTTAACTTGTTTGGTGTTACTTATTATATGATATAACCAACTCTAGAGCTGATACAATATTATCTGTGCAGGCACCTGAATTATTTCCAACTGCTCCTGCCCTTGCAATACCTAAAGCAATATCAAATGCTGGTTTGAAGGCTTCTCAAATTGATTATTATGAAATAAATGAGGCCTTCTCAGTAAGAATATACACATATCATCATATATCATTCAGGATTTTATATGTTACTTATATAAAAGTGTCTATGCAGGTTGTGGTTCTTGCAAATCAGAAGCTTCTTGGTCTTAATCCTGTGAGTGTTGATTTCACTCCACTCTTTGTTTGGATCCTTCATTCATGCGAAATCATATATTCTTTTAGCCTGTTCCTTCTGCATATGCCCATTGTTTTTCCTCCATTCCTTCCTATCATGAAGCATAGCCGATTCATGTCTGTCTTATCGTATACAGGAGAGAGTTAATGTACATGGTGGAGCAGTATCATTGGGACATCCTATTGGTTGCAGCGGAGCTCGAATCTTGGTTACATTATTGGGGGTAATGTGTGACCTTAATATATTGACTATATTAATTAAATTAAATCTCTTATAATATATTGACTATTTTGTGCATATTTATTTTTGTGGCTTTCTGTTGGTGTTTTTCTTTTCACAGAATTCATGTGTTGCAGGTATTAAGACAGAAGGGTGGGAAGTATGGTGTTGCTGGAGTCTGCAATGGAGGTGGAGGAGCATCTGCCCTTGTACTTGAGCTAGTGTGAGCCTCCCTCTCTCTTTTGTGTGCGTGTGTGTTTCTTTACAATAAATAACTTTGGAAAATTACAAATTTTAGTCTCTAGAGTTGTAGTCAAATTTGGTCCAGGTCATCGTAGTATTTTTGCTAAGAAATCAGTCTTTAAAATTATGATGAACTTTAGCCAAGGTCCCTAGAGATGATGTATTGTTGATATGACAGTAATATTTGGTAATAATAAGGTTTTGACGAAAATTGACCACGATTCTAGAGACTGATTCTTTAATGAAATAACTAAAAAAACCTTGACCCAAGGCGACCATAAACACACAAGGCGACCATTAAAACCAAGTTTACAGAATCTATTTTGATTTGCACATTTCTTTGTTGTAAATCTTCGAATATACCTTTTCTTCCTTCTGTTACTAATTGCCCTCGATCCTAACTCAGTTACGAGGAACGACATGATTGAAAATACTTAATGAAGTGAATCCTTTTTGAACTACGAGAGATCAGCTCCTATTTTTACCTAATTTTTGACATGGAAGATGCTGAGGAGTTTCTTAACTAACTGATATAAAATGATAGAGAAATTAACTGAATTAGTTCTTGACATTTCTTGTTTTATTTTTATTTTTGGAAAAAGGTTCTTTTGATATTTCTATTTATACCGAGCAATTTTCCTAAAGAAATGATGGTTTAATTTCTCTACATATCTTCAAGCACAAAAGGCTATTGAGGATTTTGCTTTTGCAGGCCGGATGCCAGGCTGAGACGTTCTTCGTTATGAGGGTCATCTCTTTGGTGCTTTCTTTGTTGAAAGTTAGAGACTCTGATTTGGGACAAAATTCTAGGGACTATTGCGTTGCAGGTGACAAAATCAGTAGCTATGTTCGTTATAAATTTTTTAATCTTTATAATGATTAAAAATTTTAAGGCAAAATCCTACATAATATGTTTGGAAAAGGTGGTGGGGGTTATACATGGAGTAAAAAATAATTGCTTTCCGTTGCTAAGTAAATGGTTGATTGAGGACGCTACCTTTTATCCCCTAAATAGGGTGGGGGGGATCGATTCAGTAATGCATTACGAGAAGCCAGTAAAACATGACAACAATTCTTGAAGGTTTTAATTCGAAATGGATGGAGGGCAGGCTTTTCGTTGTTGATTGAAGTGCAGTACTAGCTAGACAGTTTTCCTTGACGAAGGGCAACATTTCTCTTATGGCAAAGGGTGCTGATGAAGATGATGATTCCTTGTGGAAGGTGTGAATTACCATCCTTATGTAATTGAAGTGAGGTATTTTTCAGCCGCGAAGAGAAACGCACAAGATTGTTAATGGGAAGTTTAATTGAAAAACAACCAAACCATAACGAGCAGGTGTATGGGGGCAGTGTATGAGGAGATGGACTCATTTGTTGGCATCCAAAAAGGCACTAACTTGGCGAGACGTTAAAGATAATGCTTATCCAGGATGGCACACGTGGGAATGGCAGAATGGAAAATCTTTCATATTAAAAGTAAATGTGTGTATGGAAGAGAAATAGACCACAAGCAGTGTTCCAAAAGTTGGACCAGATGTCAAACCAAAAAGGTTAGAAAATCTTAGTTTTTATGATTCAATCCATTAGACCAGCAGTCGAACAGCTTATATAATAATTAAATAAGAATTTAATAAAAAATAATTATATGCATATAATATATGTATTGTTTGAAGTTGTGTTTTGATGATAACAAAAGTGATTTACTTTTATAATTTGCTGATTGAGTGACCTATTTCAAGTTATAGAATATGAAGTGTCCTTGTATTTGGATAAGAGGACTTGAAATATTCAAATCAGTTGAAGTCAGTGTTTCTTAGAGACCTTTCCTACTCGATTTCATCAAGAGATTATTCGAGTCATGAGTCATGACCTTGTTGCATATCTTATGATTTGATTCCTAGTTTTATTTAGATCTAAAGCTCCAAATCAATGAGAAAGGATTCAAGTCATTATTCAATTCATGGATTTCCTTCTTTCTGTCAAAGGGCTTATCTCCATTTTTATCCAAGTCAAGGACACTTGCTTTAACTTGTGTCCTTTATTCAAGTTGGGCCTAAAGATATCTGCATAACAAGATCCTATTTCCAGTATTTGTTCGAGGCCAGGTACTTTTAAGCTCTCATTCTTATTCAACCGTACTTGAACCCTTTATTTTAATCCTGAGCTTTTGTTTATCCTCCCAATTTATCTCTAGTTATATTCGGATACGGCCCTTTGTGCAAATCATATCTCTTTGGTATCCGAATTAGAGTATCCATTCTGATTTAAAAAGTATATTCAGTACAATGCAATTGCCGTCCATTCTTATTCAAGTCAATTGTTCTTGAACTTTATCTCTTGCTTTATGCTAGTCAAGTTTCAAATCAAGAACTTTCTGAGAACAAATTCTATTCGAGTCAACTCATGTATATTGAGATAATAACTTAGACAATGATTTCTAGATCAAGATTAAAGCTGTTATAAGTTCATATAATCTTATCCAACAGTTATAGAAATGTGTTGAAGTATCTCATTGCAAGCTTGGTTTAAAACTATTCAACAAAGCCCAAGCACTGAAGCAGTCTCAAGTTGAAAGCGGATTCATTCGCTTCACCGATGGACAACCAAACAGGTCTAGGCATTTAGTACGGGCCAGGTCTAAAAACACTAACGAGAAGTTCAAAATTAAGAAAGCATTCTTTGGTCCAATCTTTAATGGTGTATGAATAAGAGTAAATTTCCATTCCAATATAATTGATATGGGATATCGGAAAGGGATACAAGAGTTTTGGGGATGGATTCTGCATGAGGAGAATATAGACTACAAAGTAATGAAACATTCCATGGTACAGGATTTTAGGAGGAATTACGTGGGCATCTTCTATAATCCCCACTACTAGAAAAACTCCCTTTTGAACTGCTTTATCTACATCGCTCGTTCCACCAACGGTGTAATAAATGGGATAGTGGTATTTTTGCAAATAAAGATATATTCTCTAGATCATGTTATTTTATGTCTAGTGGAAAAGATGGTTATGAACATCGATTATACCAAAGAATTAGTCCAGAGACATTAATACCTTTATCGAGAAACTAAACAGATGACACAATCTCTTTTGTTCTCTTGAAGTAACATGTCTGAATTTCAAGAGTCTTCTTAAACTTCAAGCTCAACTCGTCTTCTCCATTGTTTTCTTTAAAAATCACCATTCGCCTGATCATTGTGGTGATGCGCCAAAGGACAATGCCTATGCATCAGCGCTTTCCTCTGTCTCCACCACTACTTCTATCGTCTACCCCATCGTCTCCTCCATTGCCTCCACCTCCTTCTTCTTTTTGTGAGCTACTCAACAAAGTAGCAATGATTCAAAATAGCGTTTGCTAGCTCGCTGAGCACTACTACACCCATGAAACTAGCTCAACCTCATACTTGACATAGAGACGTCGAGTATCAATTGATGGAGGATTCTTCTTTTCCCTCCTCCACTCCCACTCTGTCCACCCAGCACCGCTGCTTGGCCTCCTTGTTCCTGTCCTCGCCTAAAAATTCCTCTTCTACTTGAAGAAGAATATAGAGGAGGACTTTTTTTAAGAGTTTTTAATCCTTTTTTTTTTTTAATCTATATGTATATGCCCCCCAAAATCAATGAAAAAAATTTGTGTTGTGATCTGTGCAGTGTTGATTTTTTTTTTTTTTTTTACTTTAGTTATCCACTGATCATGAGAAACTATTATTAAGGTATCAAATTACTTTTACAAAGAGAAGTACAACATTATAGGTAGTTAATATTTAGTATTGATTTCAATTTAACGGGACCATTTTATGGTAAATGAAATTTTACCATGTTATTATTTGAGTAAAGAAAATTTACCCAAAAACATGATTTAAATAACAGAAATACAAATAACTGAGATGATGATGATGATGATGTAAACGAAGAAAAAAATCAATGTAGAAAAGTGAAAAAAATGGATCTCAAATAATAAGTGCATGGCCCCATTAGGGAAAATTAGAGAGAAAGACTTGAAAAAATGATATTTATTTAGAAGGATCTTAGAAATTATTATTATTTAAAAGACCAAAAATCATAATATAAATGTAATGGTACTAAATTGTCATCATGCCATCTTGACTCAACCTAAAGCAGATGTTGGTGATATGAAGGCATGAAATATGTACATTTGAGGATATAAACTGGTAAAGCCACCAAATGTACACTGGTTGGTCCTTTGGTCTAATTGCTTGTTACAAGCGTTGACACCCCACTAGTGGACAAGAGAGAAAACCCATAATTCTATTGGATACTCTATAGACTTTGGTTTGTCCATATCACTCAATCAGTAGGGTTGTTGAGTTACCACTCACATGGATGAGAATTTAGCCCAAGGCTTTAGTCAGAGGATATAAGGCAAGTGGACAAAAGGGAGATTAGAGGATTATTTGTTGTACTTTGTGACATGCTTTGACAGTATGAAAATTATTTGAATGTAAAGAACCTATAACTTTCCCACTTTTCATCTCACGAACACATGCTACTATGTATGATGAGTTGGATTATTGGTTACTAAAGCGTTTGTCTCACCTTATTGCTCTTAACAATTTTTAGATGATTGCTTTCAGCCTGGTCCGTTAACAAAGGCTCTGGAGGCTTGATTACTTGTTAATCATTATATAGCCTCCATTTTTGTGTTATGTTGGATTATTGTATATTAGAAGCTTAGGGCTTACATGCATATCTTAATAACTTTTTGTAATACTTTTGATTAATAGTACGGATTTGCTATTTTTGGAAACTTGAGATATTTAAGTAATGATTCATGAATGAGTATTATTGAAAAGTGTGTTTATAGTTGGGTTGATGGTTGGATACGATATTCTAGGGTTCGAATGCCTATGGCTCGCTTGCTTTAATTGTGCTACTTAATCAAATATTTGTTCTAATAACCATGTTAGATGTGTTGTGCTCTTTCTAACATTGTTTACATGTGAACTATTAAGTTAATCTCTTTTATTTATGATATACCTTTGATGATTTAGTCATGTCTTTTATGTCATGGTTAAAATACTCTATTCATAAGGAAATTTTTATAAATACGGTAGCTTTGCAAATGTTTAATTAAGATATTTTTACTACCATGGTTAAGTTTCCAACGTTTTGGTTGAATCTTTTTCTACAATGGTAAAGTTTTGATTAGTCATCTCCTTTTTCTACCATAGTGGTTTTTGAATAAAGGTTTTGACTAAGTAATCAATATTAGAAGAATCATTTTTGTAGTTATATTGTCTACTTTTCTCCCTTATGCTACTTGCGGTGAGCCCTAATCTCCATTTTTTTTCCTACGCAAGATGGTCATAGTCACCTCATTGTTAAAGTTTAAGCCCTATTGCGTCATCAACATTGAAGATTCTAAGCCATGCTTTATCAACCTTGTTTTTCACTCCCTTAAGTTAGGTAACTCATTCTTTTGATTCTAAAGCAAGAGCCCTAAGCCCCAACATTGTTGTTTATGTGTTTGTTATTGGCCTCCTCTAATTAATCAATTGCTATCTTGCTTTAAGGGGTTAAAGTATGCTTTTATAAATTGGAAATAGCTCCTAACTTGACTGGTGTTATTTGTCTAGCAAATTTTTAGTTGAGCTTGATTGTCTTAATGCTGGTTCATATTTTTTTATATGGAATAAATAGCTTATATGCTTAAAATTAATGTTTCTTAATGCTAAATAAGAATCTTATATGACTTATGTCTGAATAATGGCACATGAATGAGCATTCTTGAGCTGGAATTTCTTGAGTTTTGGCAATGATGTTTGTCTAATTAAAGGATGTGTAGTGATGCCTAAGAGTTAATAGCTTTGTAAGTGTTGTTTGTTATTTTTTGAATTGAAATTAGCATAGGTTTGGATATTAGTTGGATTGTTTGGCTTCTGTTTTTTCCCAAGCTTTTTGTTTGGTTGATTTGTGCCCTCTTTGAGATGCCTTAGATGATTTTTTAAGGGCTGGACATATGTGTTGGTCAAATTTTAACCATGATGTCTACTACAAGCAGATGCTCGATTTCTTTTAAAATCATCGTTAAGGTTGAATGTCGCCACCCTTGGATTAGCTGCCAGGTTCACTAAGCTTAGACATCAATTTAAAATTGTTAGAATGGCTAATCACCTAAGGGGTTGAATTGGGT